AAATGCAAGAATTCCTGCAGTTTGCAGTGTGTATCCACAAAGGTGGAAGGCTGCACCAATTTAGTTCATTCTTTCAGATCAATTATATAAAATTCCAATATTAAATGTTTGGGAGAAACTTAAAAATTCCCTGCTCCCAGCTGCTATTTTGGGCATCCTGAGATGCTTGAGACTGTCAAGACTACCTTGGAATCCCTGCTTCCCCAGTCTGCCTCATACAACTCTTTTCTAGGCTGCAGCTGTGTTCTAGGCAGCAGGGAAGTGACTACACTGTACCACTATTAGGGTTTATAGTTAGAAGATCTGAAATCGGGGGAAGGGGGGGAGGGAAGGGGGAATCTCATCCCCACAAGATAGAATTAAGTTATACACCAGGATATTTCTACGCCTTCTTCTGAAGCAACCATAATATAACAGTGTCAAAACAAGACACGAACTGAGAGGGGCCACTGATTTGCAACTGGTGTTGCAATTCCTCTGTTTCTGCTTTTTAAATAATGTACCAAAGCTAACTTGGGTTTATTCATGACATGTCAAATTAAATCAATTTCAGGAATAGAAAATGAAAAGTGTTGAGCTCCTTCTTGCAACCACTGCAGATCTGCAAAAGGAAATCCTGACATCTTTCACAGGCTTAAACCATAACTTCTCTCAAGATTGCCAAGCTGGCCTCATGCTGAATCCATGCTCTTTGAATAAAAGACTGTAACTTATGCATCTCTAGAGACACCCAATGGAGGCAATGAAAATAACAGCTACTACAAAACAAGGTGGAAGCTACTTTAAAGAAGGCATCTGTTCCCCATTTTACAGCATCCTATTAAATGATGCTAATGGGGGGAAGTGGGAGACAGACGACTTGCTATCAAGCCTTCTAAGCCCCTATGATAGGCATCACCCCAGGCTTCTCTTTTCTCTATTGTGCTGCTTTCTGAATAAAACTGAATGCAGCACTGCAAAGTTTGCATGGTTATTATACTCATCATTTATCTGCAGTAACTTCTAAAGGCAAAAGTAAACATGCTGATTTATTATGACCTTATGGAGCCCAATAAGATAGTATAGTACTGCTATTCTCCTTTGTAGTGATCTGAGGTATGACAAAGATTAGGGAAATGTTTTAGGTAACTCCTATTGGATCTGATAGGTACTGGGCACTTCCAGAAAGCCTCAACTCTACTGATGCATGCTGAGATGAGACACTGCATCTCAGTGCTATGTAATTCTCTCTGCATTTTCTTTCCCTCTTTAAATCTCTCCATTTTCCTCAACTGCTTTTAAGCCTCCCTCCCCATTTCCTTAAGCTTTTCTCCCTGACCTTCAAAGACAAGTTTGGTCTGTTGGCACCTCATTATGGGGACATGTGCTGTCCTGAATAAAGGTTTTATTTTCTGTACTGCTCCTTACTTCATAATACAGATGTGAGTTTGAACAGCAAAAGGATAACTGCTCAGTGAGGAAAGGGATGATGGTGAAAAGTATGTCTTATGACATTTGCTACATGACATTTTGAAGCAAATAGCTCAAAGGTTTCAAAAGGAATTCCAGTCGAGGGGTTATGATCCTAGATTAGGACACTAGATACTTGGGTTCAAGTCCCTTCTCTGCCATGGACTTCCTGTGCAAATTTGGCCAAGTCATTTGGCATCAGGTGCCCACATGTACAATGGCAATAACATTATACCTCACAAGTGTGTTGCAAAGATAAATATTTTAAGTCATGGGTTGGCAACGTTTTTGGGAAGTGCCCAAAACACCCGCAACCTTGCCTTGTAAAATATTGGCGTGCCAAAGGTAGAAGATGCCAGGGGAGCTGTGAGGGGCCCAATCCTTGTTGTGGCAGCAACAGCCCCAACCCCAAGGTTGAGGCCCAAGAGCCCAACCACCAAGGCATGTGTGCCAAGCAAAATGGTTCTATGCGCCATGCGTTGATACCCATGCCAGGGGTTGCCTACCCCTGTTTTAAGTAATGGGAGACATTAAGATACTACAGGGGTTATAAAAGCACCTATTATAGAAAGATTTTAAAAAAAATTAGCTATTTGCATTAAAGGAACAGTATTCTGCCAGTGTACTTGCTGGGCACAATGTTATAAAACCACATGATAAGGTGGTCAACGGGTAAAGGTGAGAAAGAAATATTTTTCCAGGGCTTAGTATAATCATGAAGTATATACATTCATTATGGTTTTTCTTCCTCTGATGCATCTAGTATTGGCCAGACTTGAAAATAGGACACTGAATCAGACAGACTCCAGTCTGTTTCTTTAGGGAAGTTCTTATTCTTTGGACAAGAATTAGAAAAAGGTTAGCTGTATAACTATGATTATGGTTTTTTTTCTCATCATGGATACAGCCAGCTGGAATAAGATGTGACAAACCAGAAAAGGATACAACATGCAGACTGAAAATAGAACTAAAAAAGCTAGGTCTATCATGTCTTAGTCAGAAAGAGCAAATGTACTAAGAGATGCAAATGGGCATCCCAAGAAATGTGCTAGTTAAAAGTGAGAGGAGGGGACAAAAGATGAATACAGAACTGTCCTGATGTAAAAGTACTGCAATATGTCATTAGTGAAGTGTATAATTTTTATATATGGAAAACTACAGCAAGAATAAAGTTGGATGCACAGAAGAAATGCTGCAATAGCCAATTTCATATTGCTACAGGTGAGATTCATGTTTTAAATGCAGATGAAGATCTACATGGGCAAGAAAAAGATATTACAGAAATTCAGAAAGTTAGAAAATTACCAGAAGGAGAGACTATCAAATAGTGCAGAATTTTATGGGGCACTGGCTGGTTTACTAGCCCTTAAATGCTCTCTTTGGCTGCCTTCATCAGAACACTATGTTAATAGCCCATTAGGAAAATACATTACAACTTGGAGACCTATTCAACAGACTATTTCATGCCCATGTCCAAGATATGTACCAAAGACTTAGGTCTGCCTGTTTCCCCGATTAAAACATATGAATTCCAATTTTCAACAATGGCACAACACTCCAGGCAGTCCACTTCCAGAAAATGCTTGTATTTCTCAGGTGATTAAAATCACTCTGCCCTCAGCCACTGGTTTAAGAATATCACCAAGGTGTGCTGTAATATAATCACCCAGAACTGCACTGCCTATGGTGTCTCATCACTGAAGTAATATAGGCTATGAACCAAAGTCAGTTTTTAATTGAAAAAGAAGGTGCCAGCAGCCCAGGGCCCCAGGCCCAGCTGAAACAGGATAAAAAATTATATCAGCACTGGTACGCTTTGTAAAAAGAAAAACAACTGAACTTTTTTTTTTTAGATCTACAAAGCAAAGTTAGCTGTAGTTTTGGTAGTGTTCATCTTCTACTCGACCTCGAAAATACTCAGCATGCATGAAAAATTAAACTGGGAAGGAGTCGATCACTTGAGGGGACGGATTAGGGGACAAAGAGCCTCCTACCTCTAAGCAACCATTTTAGAGAACTGAAATGGGCTCTCAGCCTATTCCCTAGTGGAGGAGTTCAAAACTGGCACGATCAAGCCAGCCAAGAGACTGGATCCAGCTCAAGGTAGCTCAGGGAATCAGCAGCACATTCCAGCCACAGCAGCAGAGGAAGTGTCCCCAGGGTGGTAGTGCCTGCCACATCCAATTTATTCTCTTTGCTACAGCAGATGCAGCATATCTAGGGTTGGTCCTAGCATCTGTCTTTAGACATCAGCTCCCCTTGCAGCACCTGCTGATCACCAAGGGATGCAGGTGGTGGGTCATAACCATAGCAGGTGGTGGGTCATAACCAGGGGCCCACAGTGACTAAAAGTCCTGCTCGAGTGGACAGGTGTCCCACGTTGTTAAAAGCACCAACACAGCGGACTAGATGAGGAGCCTCAAAAACAAGGCCTGCTGGACTGCTGATTGGCACTTAATCTCACTCCGCAGATACAGCTCTGCACAGCCGCATGCTCACACTCTTTGTGCTCTAATGCCTGAAGAAGCAAATGGTAGAATGTGTCACTCATGTGTGCAGCCATTAGTTCATGAGGCCCCACTGAAATAAGACCATTACTGGACCCTGCTTGCACTTGATGATGCTATCTATACAGCACCAAGACATTTGTGGCAAGTAACAGAGTTATATATCTATTTCCCTGTCTCAGAGACCTATGGAAACTGTGAAGAGTTGTGGAAGATAGCACATATAAAATATGGCAGAATAGAAAAAGGCTTTTAAAAATGATTTGAAGGGTGATGGAGGAGGGCATTCAGCAAAGGTTTGGGGTGAGGCTATTCGAAGTCCAAGGGGAAGTATAAGAAATACAAACAAGAGAGTGCATGCCAAGGTGCTCTCATCCCTTGGGGACAGGTGCAGTAAAACCTTGAAGGAGAACTTGTAGAGAAGCTGCAAGTTCTGGATTATTTTCCCAGCGCTGCCAGTGACCTGCTCCAGGACCTTCATCAGCCACTTCCCCTCTCACTGCCTTTGCCCCTTCTCACTTTTTGTCTGGATTTTCTGTTTCTGTTGTAAGGTCATTAGAGTAGGGACAACAATTGTGTGGTTGTACAGAGCATAGCCCAAGCGGAGCTCAGATCCCAGCTGAAAAGTTTAGGTGCTACTGTAACACAAATGAAAGAGCAGTGATATTTTGGGCAGGCCAGCAGGAGCAGAGGAGGATGTAGGAAGAAGTGAGGTGAGAGGCTTAATACAAGAGCAGTATTGTAAAGTATGCATACAAACCTGAGGAAGGACAACAAAGAACTGGGTCCTGGGACCTTAAAACAGCCAAGAGTTACCTGTATGGTGAAATCCTAGTACCAATGAAATCAACAATAAAGCTCCCTGCAACTCTAACAAAGCCAGGATTTTAGGCCCAGTGTCACATGGTTACTTTAACATGCTAGCATCCATGAGTAGAGTGAAAAAATACCGTGCAAAAGATACAACCTTTTATTAAATGCTAAGAACTTTGCTTTTGTATTGTTAAAATATCCAATATATATAAAAAAAAATAATAAATTTACCTCAGCACCTAAACTGAGAGAGAGAATTTCATCCTCAAAAGCAGAATGCGTGTCAATATGAGGAGGAATTCCTGCATAACAAAAATCACAAAGGGTTGTCAAAACAATAATGCTAAGTATCACAGTTGGCAAGTCCCATTTCCACGGCTATTTATCTGTACATATTTAAGACATATTTTTGATTCACAGACTTTGGAACTAAGTAGAAAAGAGCTGCCTGCAACACAGTAAAAAAGCATGCACCTCCCTTTCAATCTGTTCCTTGATCAGGAGTAACTATAAACAGGAAAAACATTCTGCATATCACAGTTAGCTGTTTTAGTCTACCTACATGCAAACAACCGCACTAAGGATTTTCCATTAATTCAGAATTAGGGCCACATCCATAATACAGATACAGCCCTATAACAGAGAAATATTAATCAGAACCTGCTTCCATCTCTTTTTCATGGACTGTTTACCTCTTCAGATCACCAACTCTTCCATGCTACACTCATCTTAAGAGCCAAGAGCCAGATTCCATTTTCATTTATATTAGCACCAAAACTGTACCTCTAATTGCAAGTTTCCAAGTTAGGAAAACTGAATCCTGACATTGGCCCTTATTAAAAAAAAAACTCTGTTCAGGAGTGTGAACTGCAAGTGGATAGGTAATTTCTCCCCCTGACTCAGGGCTACCAGAGACAGTTTTTGGTTAACAATCCTAAAAAATAGGTTTGATTTTAAAAAAAAAAACAAATATACTTACCTTGTCCAGGTTCATACTGGTTTACTGTCAATTGATCAGGTTTATGTTTGATATATCCTTTTCTCAAGCACTTCTCCAGGAGCATATTGCAAATTTCAGGAATACCTATTTTGACATACAAAAGTCTAAACAAAACGTTTTCTTTTTTTTTCTGTTCATGACAGATGAGAAATCAAAATCTTGGACAAAACCCATAGAATTCTGATCAAATATCTTTAGTAAAAATAGCCTTGTAGGCCAATGTACATTGTCTTTTATGCAGGTAATTCTGAATTTGTTATGGCACACACGGAAAGTTCTTGTTATAGTCATAAAAATAGTGTTTGTATCTGTAAATTGTAGTACCCTTAATAAGTGTGCACCAGACCCTGTTGTTACTGAAAACAATGGCAAATCTCCACTGATCACATAATGTGGGCTGCACAAAGGTATATAATTCTTAGGTATACAGAATCAGAAACCAAGTTAAGACCCATAAAAAGTGTGTTAATGATTTATACAACAAATTAAAATAGGGTTTCTAATAAAACTATTTTTATTAGTATTGAGTATTTTCATCAGTAACATGCAAGAATAAAACATCACAGTTCTTTAGTGAGCCTGTAGTTTGCTCTGTAGTTATTAGATGTTTACCTGTAGTTATTAGATAACTTGTGATATTCAGCTATGCAATGTTCAAAACCACTGTGATAAAAATATTAGGAAATACTTTTTACAGCAATCTATTAATATTTAATATTGTTATTTCTTTTTTGACCCCCTACATTGGTCCCTTCACCTGTGTTCTTTTTGCATTTCAACCAGAATGTGAAAAAGCGGCCAGAAAACAGCAAATATAAATGAGTGCTTTTATGATTAAATACAATTTCAGCTGCAGAAGTGCAATTTAACTAGAACCAATGCAATGGAAACTATGCACCTGTGTTTCTCTTTCATTGTGATTTTATTCCATATTTTATTATTTTTCTAGATAAAGTTACAAAGCATCTTACTTTACTTCTCTGACTCAAAACTCTCAGGCCCAAATGGAACATTTTTCAGAAACTTTCTATCACTGTAAAATGACTCGCTTTTGTATTGAAAGTAGACTCTGGGGAACATGTACTCAGCCATTTCCAGGTTATTTAAAAAGGTAACAAATATATTACATACACATACATTTTCTAGCATAAAAATAAATGTAATCCTTTTTGATGTAATATTAATTCAAAAATGCTGAACTGCTGAAGTTCAAAATGCACATTTGACTAGTAACCAATGAAAGTCAACAGGCATGTGGGTTTTAAAAATACAATTAGACATGGTTAATATGGCTTCATGCCTACACCACAAAAGCTGACAGCTAAGGCACTGATTCAGAAAACCATCACTATTGAAGAAGGTTGCTCAAGCGTATGTTTAAGTTCCAGTGAAGTTAACTCAGGGGTGCGCAGTTATTTGGACTGTGGGGGCACTTAAGGAATTTTGGTGAGCTATTGAGGGCTGAGGGATCGTGGGAGGTGCTGTCCCAACCCCTGGCCTCAGCCCCGTCACAGCTGTTTACACCACCCAGCGGAGAGGGTGGGGAGGGCTGGGGGATGCCAATTGATTATATATGGCCCCAAGCACATCTGCCCTACATCCACCACCAGGGATACCAGATGGAGAAGGCAAACAGGGATCAGGATTGCAGGACAGTGACAGTGCAGGGCCAGGGCCTGAGGCAGAGCCGCAATCCACTCCCTGCACATCCCTGTGACGGCCACTGGTTCCGCAGGCAGCAGCCAGCCCCTGCCCGCAGAACCAGCGCCCATTGCAGGGGTGTGTAGGGAGTGGATTGCAGCTCTGCCCCAGGCCTCAGCCCTGCACTGTCAGTGCCCCATGCTCCTGGCCCCATCCCAGCCCAACTGTCCCACTGCTGAACCCCACTGCCTGCCCACCTGCAGCCCCATCCCATCCCATCCAGTAGAAGTGCACCCTGCCCACAGGGGTCCCAGGCCAGTTTTCATGGAGACACTGCCCACCCACTCCATCCAGCACCCCTGGTGGTGGGTGCAGGGTGGACAGGCTGGGGTGCTCAGGCAGTGGGGCTGGATCTAGCAGCAGAGAAACTGGCAGTGGCAGCTGGAAGGAGCTGCCACCACAGGGGTTGCCAAGAAGCCAAATCTGGTTGCTGCGCCATCCCCGCCCCGCTGCTGCACCACTCAGAATGCCCAAGAGGCACACACAGGGATAGGATGGGCTGCACTCTGCACCACACGGCACCTCCACACCCAGGGATAGTGGAACCAGCTGCATACACCATGGCCTGGGCTCCCCCTGCACCTGAGCTGAGCGGGTGGACAGACTGCCGCAGGCTGGATCCAACCCATGAGCCATATTTTGCCCACACAAGTTAACTAGATCTTAAGTACATATTTAAGTGCCTTCCTGAGGGCATGGGCAAAAGAACTGATGTGTGTAGCTTGTCACAGAACAAAGTAGTCTTGTCACACACTCATGCCCTTAGTTACATGACTTGATAGGGTACTTCACTGATGTTGATGCTAGATTCTAGCTATATTACTAGATCTAGCTGAACAGATTTAAAACCAATGTCTTTTAAGGTGTCCCCTAAAAACAAAAAACTCTTACCTGCAGGCAGTGGTTTATCTTTATCCACATTGTTGTGATCATATCGAAACTCATAGCCAAAATGCTTTACTCTTCTGTGTTTTAAAGACTTTTGTGCTGCAAAGTAAAACAAATGAATATAAAAATATTAGAACAGATTTGATATTTCAGACTTCCTACTAGGCCTATTCCATATAACCTCTGTTCAGACCAAAATTTTTTTTCACAAGTTGGTAAGAACTATGGTGGCCCTCAAGATACTACAATTCAACACTTCTATAAAACAAGGTTATAAAACAGACACTGCCAAAGGAAGTGGTTCAGCTGAAGCAAAACTCATGTCATCCACTGTTCAAGAATTCCTCAAGTCCCTTGCTCCCCTTCGTCTCCTTGCTGGGACCAACGGGTCACGCAGAAGCCTGGATCAGCACAAATCCCAGCATAGAGCAGAGCAGAGGTGTTGAACAGTGTGGGACACCAAGAATTCCCAGTGCCCCATGCCTCCAAGCCGGGACATGCACCACATCCCATACTAACCTGTGCTTCACAGGGAGGCATGGAGAAGTGCAGGTCGCAGCATAGAGACATGGGACAGCAGGAATTCCCCATGTTCCACACCAACATACACATCCTGGCCCATGCTGATCAATGCCTCTGCATGAAGCATGAGTCAATGCAGGACCCAGTGTAGATCCCCACGTGGAGGAACAAGGTCATGAGTCCCTGCATGGAGGCATAGATTGCCAGCAATTACCTGAGTCCTGCACCCCCATATCAGGACCCAAGTGGGCTTTCCCCCACTTACGGAGTTGTGCCTTTGCATATCATGGGGCAGGTCTCTATAAGCAGGGTACCCTGAATTTCTGTGCATACAGAGAGGTACCCCAAGATTCACTGGGACAGATCTCTGTAGGCAGGTGCTCCTGAGGTTTAAGGGACCTGATCCTGCAGGGGAATTTCCGAGGTGCCACAGAGCAAATAAACATTTGCCACAATGCAGTAGCATTACTTAACATTACGTTTTGTTGTTGCCACTGATCTGAAGGGACTGCATGCTGCATGGAATTCAGGACTGCAGTTGTGCATACTGCATTCATCTATCCCTAGAAGTATACCAGTTTCCCCCAATCCATGGTTTAATGCTTTTTTTTTTCCTGTCCTTATACCTGGATAAGCACATAACATGGGCTTCCAAGTATGCAACAGGCTCCTACTTTGTTTGCATCACGATACCATATTCTTACTAAGGTCAACATAATGCTCTATACCATGATGAGGAGTCAAAGTTATTTTCCTAATTAGCTTCTCAATTCCTAAATAACTGGCTTTAAGATATTTAATTCTACAGAGTACAACTGAAACTACATGAGCAGCTAGAGTGGGAGCTTCTTTGGTGACAAAAAAAATCAGCTTTCAGATAGGATACCAAAGTATTGGCATGACATTTCTCAAAACACTTATCAGTTGAGCCTGCTGTTAGGAAATGACTCTAGCTCTGATTTTCAACCAGGGTGCTATGACACCCTGGGGTGCACTGACATCCTTTCAAGGGTGCTGTAGGATGCCATTCAAATGTTAGCACTATTAGATGTGCAAGCATAATTCACAAGATCAACCCAGAGATTTCAAATAGGAATACATAGCTAAAAAACATTCTGACCTGTTGTGATTTAAGTTCTTCTGTTGCAAAGAGTTGCTGTATTATTTTTCTCTAGTCAAAAAAAAGAAAAAATTAAGAACTGGCATTTTCTGAGGGGTGCCTCATGTCTGAAAAGATTGAGAACCACTGTTCTAGCTAGCTGCCTGGGGAAATAAATCCTTCCAAAGGCATCACTTTAAACCACACATTTCTCGATATTTGTAACTTTATTATATATGACTCAATTTTACAAGTGCTATACTGAAGATGGTATCTTACAGAAATGAAGTGATATAAAATAACAGCTTGCAGATAATTCTAGCTTTCCTTTGTTTTACTCACCATTTTGAATGACTTCATCTCCTGTCCAATCGATACTCTCCAACATCGTTCTTTCTTCCTCAGGAGAAATGAGCTCATCAACCACCTTCAGACCTGGAGGCAAATTTGTAGGCATAATATCCTCCCAGTGCACTGCAGATATAGGAAAAAGAAAATAGTGCTGCTGTCCGTGGAAAGTGACCTGTTTGTGCCCCTTAGGCTAAAATGATGTTTTACTAGTATTGTGCAACATGTGATAAATGTTTAAATTGATCATCAACTGAACTAATGAACATGCTTAGCAGCACTAAGCGATTTGGTGGTAAGGGGCTGCTACAGACCCCCCACATTAAGGGGAAGAACTAGATTTGGAACTCCTGAGGTAGCTCTCAGAAACCATGAAGACTAGGGAGGCAGTAGTCATGGGGGACCTAAACTACCCTGACATCTCCTGGGAGATGCAAACAGCAAATTCCCACCATTCACAGAGGTTCCTATCCTGTGTACAGGACCTCCACCTGAAGCAGGAGGTACATGGTCCCACCAGAGGGAATGCCTTACTGGACCTGGTATTGGCAACAGTGGATGACATGGGAGGGGACCTACAGGTCAGTGATCACCTGGAGGACAGTGACCACCAAATAATAGAATTCATCATAAGGTATAGAGTGGGTAAGTAACTAGTAGGGTGGAGGTGCTAGACTTTAGGAAGGCTGACTTCGGCGAGCTCAGGCGTTTAGTCAATGACTGCAGAGTAAGAGATTTGGCAAGGTGGGAGCTCAAGAAGGGTGGCTGTGCCTTAGGGAAACGATCCTTCGGGCACAGAGGAAGAAGATCCTGATGCGGGGGAAAAGAGGGAAAGGGGCCCTTTATATATATCCTTGCACACTCCCGCCCCAGGCGTCCCTGGCCTTTTTAAGCTCGTCCTTCCAGTGCCGGGGTTAGTCTCATCCCAATAGGCTGCGCTCTCACTGGCACCAGGGCCTGCGCCCTCAAAAGGCTGCACCCTCACTGGTGCCAAGGTCTGTGCCCCCAAAAATTAGGCTTCCTCCATCCCCTAATAGCCTTACCCAAACCTCTGGTTGTAAACAGTAAACAAAAAGCTCAAGCCCCTAGGCTGTAACAAATTCAAGCTGTCTGGTTCTAACAACATTCGCCACTCCAGGGTTTCTCCCTCTCGCCAGTATCGCCTTGTTCAGTCATTCTGGCCCTGTCCTTTTCCTCACTCAGGCAGATTTCCTACCTCTATGGCTGCTGGCGGGGAACTCTCCCCTGGCCTCAGCCCTGGGGTTTAAATGGTAGCCAGGCCCTGCCCCTTCCGGTCAGCTGCCCGCTGACAGGTATGAGTCACTGGCTCTCTCTAGTTGCCCTAGCAACCAGCACCTGGGCTCCTTCCTCATTGCTCCCAAGAGTAGCAGGCACCTTAGTGCCCTGCTACATATACAAACACGCTGTAAGAGAGAATCCTGTACCAAGGTTCTGACAGTGTAAACAGACCAAGGGTAGGAGAAACGGAGTGTCACTGCCTCTATTTTACAACTGGGAAATAAATGTAGAGCAAGATCAAGATCTATCAGATGTCCAAGGTCAGACAGGAAATCTACTGGACAGGAATTGATCCCCTTGCCCCCACAATTCCCAATCTATTTCTTTTGCAACACATCTTTTCTTACTATTCCACAGTAAATTGTTTGGAATCTGCATCCCTCAGACCTCTCTCAATGTGCTTCAGTTGCACTCACTTGCACTAAGGAGCAACAGAAACTAGCAAGTAGGTAGGGGAGATGGCTTGGGAGTATTCCCAAGCAGACAAAAGCACTATTTCCAGCACCAATCCTCAGCTGTCTGCTGTACCTAAACACTAGTTTCTGGTGTGCATGTGTAAGTGAGTGAGGGGGCAAAGTTTACCTGTTCACCAGCTCCTGGGTTGGGAAGCAGGCTGTACAGACATAACTCCTGTCTCACCCTACGAGACCAGATTTCATGGTATGCGGTAAGATGCCCCTCAAGATTCAACTTAATGGGTCAGTTGAATGCTTCTGCTATTATAGATTTCATAGACATTAGGGCTGGACCTTGGAAGATCATCAAGTTGAGCACCCCACCCAAAAGGGCAGGAAGTCAGCTGGGGTCATAGGATCCCAGCAAGATAAGCATCCAATTTAATCTTGAAGGTGTTCAAAATAGGTGCTTAAAATACCTCTGATGGCAGGCTATTCCAGACCTTGAGAGCTCAGACAGTAAAGAAATTCTTCCTTATGTCCAGCCTCAAATGGTCTTGCAGTAGTTTATAACCGTTCAACCTCAACATCCCATGGGGCACTCTGGTGAGCAAACGTTCCCCCAGATACTGATGGTCACTCCCGATAAACTTATAGGTGGCCATCAGATCACCCCTGAGCCTGCACTTTTCCAGGCTAAAGAGCCTCAAAGATCTCAGCCTGTCGTCATAAGGTCTGTTTTCCTGACCTCTCATTATGCACGTGGCTCTTCTCTGGACTCTCTCAAGCTTCTCCACATCCTTTTTGAATTGTGGAGCCCAAAACTGGACGCAGTACTCCATCT